TTCTTGGGGGAGCAGCCAGACCATAGGCAATAGTCCCCTAACACCTTCCCCTAGATGCTTGCCTGGCCTGGGGGCCTGGGGTCTTCAGTTGGGCCTTGTCAGCAGGGGATGGGTCTTCTTATCTACAGCTACCTCTCTTATCTGGATCCAACCCTACCAGAGGGGTTGGACTACAACGTGGAAGAGACTATGACCTGTGGCCCCGGGATTCCCTGTGCTATCAACCTGGAAGGAATTCTGCTTTGTGGAAAAAAAGTCAGCAGAAATCTCTGTGGAGGCCTTGGCTATGACGGTCCTTTGATCCCCTACACAAGTCTAAGTGAACTTGGTAGGTGAGCAGCAGGCAGGGTTCAGCCGAAGAAAGAAGAGTAGAAAGAAGAATGAGGTTGACACATTGTCAAATGGTTGCTGACACTGGTAGGGTACTAGGCAAGGTCAAGGTTGGTAGCCTCAAAAGCAAATCCAAGATGATCAGTGGGGTACAGCTTTCAAAGTGTGGGGACTAACACTGAGTAAAGCCAGCAGGTGCACATGATAAACTTTCCTGACCTGTTCTCCTGCTACCTGTGTCCACCTATGGCCGAAGCTAACCAAAGGTGGCCCTGGCATGTGAAAATGTAGCAGCTGGTGTTCTTCATGAGACCCATCACTGAGAAACGGGACATGTACAGGCTGTGGGCTGCGTGCACTCACTGGGATCCAGGTATGAAGATACCTCGTGCACAGGAAATCTGCTACCCCTACCCAGAGCCAGTTTGGGGCTTAAATTGTATAAGACACTCTTCCTTGGAACCCCCTGGGTCCCTACAGGGTGCTGAGGCCAGCCCGGGGCCTATCAGGGGTAGGGCACTAGTGAGACCCTCCCCTTCCTAAGGCCCAGATCTGCTGGGAGAAAATGGTGATGGCAGAGCCACCCCAAACCTGCCTATGAGCAGCAAAACCTTAGGTCAGACATTCAAGGCTTCATAGGTTTAAAGGTCTCTCACAGCTCAAGGTGGGTTTCTGCTGGCTTCTCAGTGGATGCAGAGCCTCCTCTGGGGGATTCTTAGGTCTCTGGTATGGTGTCCCCATGGAATACTGTTGCATCTTATGGAAACAAAAACCACTGATGAGCCTGATCTGCTACTGTCCTGGTAAAGGGGCTCATGACTGAGGTCTACACTTGATCAGTGAAAGTCACTTAAAGCCAGGGTCCCAAAGTCACAACTTGGGGACCTTGAGGGGAAAGGAATCCTTTACCCACACCACTAGTTGTCAGCTGATGCCTGGGATTTGGGGAGAATAAACTAAATGGAAGACTTAAGATCTGGAAGCTGGAGCTAGCTCACTGAGACAAGAGGATTGTCATAAGACTGAGGCCAGCCTGGGCTACAGAGTATGACTGTCTCCAAAACAAAAGAAAACAAGAACATCAAGAATGAGATAAGGAAGGAAACAGGTAGTTCCTGTGAGTTTTAGCAGCAGGGACGAAGAAGACCACAGCAGTGATTCATCCTGTCTTGCACACATCCCAGTGGGAGGGCACAAACAGGATGAAGGGATGAGAGCTCTTCACTCTTCACAGCGGCCTGGGAGGAGAATCTATGAACAATGTCACCAGGCAGCATACAAAGTGTGTAGGATGGGCTGGGGCAGCAACTTTATACAAGGCCTAGGTCCAACTGCAGTTGACATCATAAGAAACAGAAACTTGGTGCCAAAAGCAGAAGGTGCAGGCAGAGGGTGAGGAAAGGGCCTGACCTGGAAGCATAAGCACTTCTAGAAATAGGGATGATGAACCCCAGATTCAGGCATGGAAGGAGAAGACCCCACAGGACACCCCCAAATTGGAGGCCTATCTCACCCCATGCTCCTGGAAAGCAGAATTCTGAGTCAAGAGTAGACACCACACAGCTGAGGCATAGCCATGGGGGTATAAAAAAAAAGGGGCCTAACAGATAGGGTAAGAAGTAAACATAGGGGCTGGAGAAATGGCTCAGAAGCTAAGAGCAACTAGCAGCTCTTCCAGAGGTCCTAAGTTCAATTCCCAGGAACTATGGTGCCTCAAAATCACCTATAGTGAGATCTGGTGCCCTCTTCTGGCATGCAGGTGTATAAGCAGACAGAACATTATCTATATAATAAATAAATCTTTAAAAAAAAAAGGAAGTAAGCATAAGAGGCTTGTCTTCAGGGAGGAGTCAGATGTGGATCTGGCAACAATTGAGGAGCAGGAGCTGTACCCACTCAGGGAACTTCAGCAGTCCTGAGCCAGAGATCTCCCAAGAAAAGCACTTGCCAGGCATCAAAGCTCCCTGCAAGAAGCAGTGCCTATGGGACCTTCCTGCTGTTCTCCCAGGTCTTTCTCCCTGCAGGTCGGCCCCACAGACCAGAACCAAGCGGAGGGGCACATGCTCCTTGGTAAGTACCCCTGAGGCAGGAGTCAACTGCAGTCAGGAGGACAGCCATGTACGTAAGTCTGGATGGCTATTTTATTCTAGCCTTGGAGGATGTGGCCCTGCTGGGTGGGCATCTATACTCAGCCCTGGCGAGGTAAGGCTGGGCAGGCTGGCAAAAGCAACCAGTCCGCCAGGCCTAGCCCCAGGGAAACTGCTTTCTCTACCTAATTTTTTCCCTTGGGTAGGCCCATGCCCAGGTTGGCACACATATATGCTCTCATCTTGCCTCATAGAAGCCATTAGCGAGATGAAGATTGAGAGGTACTACCTACCTTTCCTAGCTGGGCAAATCCTGAAGGGCCAGGAGGCTAAGAACAGCCTGTGTGGAGCAGGCAGGAGTAGCCTTCACCTGTGTGGATGCCCTATGTCTAATTCCTGGCACACACATCTTTAGGCACAGGACACAGCTGTGAGAAGCTGACTTCTCAACAGTCTACTGGAAAATAGCAGGTGGTCAGCCCCCAAGGCTTTGACCAGCTTCCCACCCTATCTGCCCCATTTGTGGGGTCCTTCTCAGTCAGAAACCCTGCCCTACCCTGTGTGCTGTTAGACTTAGACTCAGGACACAAAGCAAGCCAGCAGCTTCTTTGGGCTAGGAGTACAGCCTCTAATTCAAGTCTGTGATGAACCCAGATGTTAGGACCAGTTGTGAGGATACAGAAGAGTGCAGATGTGTAAGGAAGACAGAATTTCCCATCCATGGCTTTGGAGCATAGCCCACCCTAACACCCCACCATGGACAGACCAATGGAAAAGTGGTTGGATAAGAGCTGGATAACAGCTTTGATGAGTGCACCTCCACTGAGTACAAACAGCTAGGGGCCGCAGAGAAGTGTTCCGACTTTTCCACTCCCTGCAAGGGCCAACCAAGTCAACTCTGGGTTTGTCTTGGGGCCAAGGTGAAGAGAAACCTTGAAGCAGAGGCTGAATAGAGCATCAGCACTCAGTACAAGGCAGGCAGCCTGGCTTTGGCTCACTTGCCCTGGGTGACATGCACGGCACCCTTCATAAAATGTGCCTAGGGGTCGGAAAGCAACAGCTGCACCCAGTGGGTAATGACAACCAGATCTTAGCTTCTGGATACCATTCTCCATGGAAAACCACTACAAAAGGGGATGTTTAAATGGGTTCTTTTTGTTTGAACAGATGTCAGTATATATCCCTAGCTGGCCTGGAACTTGATACATAGATCAGGCTGTCCTGAGACTCACAGAAATCCACCTGCTTCAGCCTTCCAAGTACTGGAGTTGAAGGTATACACCATTAGACATCTAAGCAACTAATGGCACCCAGAACAAAGAACCCAGATTTGTAAGGACGCTAAAATACCTAGCATTTAATAGTGAAATTAACTACATCTAACACCCTCAGAAGGGGGCTACCCAAAAACAGTCCCCAACCCTCATTGAGGGAGAAGTCACCTGTGGAGGCCAGCTAGAACTGACCCAGAGGGAGACTCTGAGTAGTGCCACAACTGAATCCACAGATATGTAAAACATGAACTAGAAAACTCATAGATGAGACAAAAAGAACCTGGGTTGGGACGCTGGAGAGATAGGTCAGAGGTTAAGAACACTGGCTGTTCTTCCAAAGGACCTGAGTTCAATTCCCAGGAAACACATGGTGGCTCATAACCATCTATAGTGAGATCGGGTGCCCTCTTCTGGTGCGCAGGCACACACACAGGCAGAATGCTGCATAAATAAATAAGTAAGTAAATAAATAAATAAATAAATAAATAAATAAATAAATAAATAAATAAGAGCTTGGGTGGGGTTAGTGGCAGAGAGGGAATGGCAAAATAAATCAACCTCCACGGAGACCAAAATCAAAGAAAAACATCTGAAGTCCAACACATCTCAGGAGCCAAGTAGGAATCTTATCAGACAGTGTACACCACACATCTGAGGGAGCAGAGAGGAAGAGAATTGAGGAAACTATTGAATGCTTCCCAAACCTGGTACAAAGTGTGAGTGCAGAGAACACTGAGCACAGGTTAACACAGACTGAGGTGATCAAACTGCTGAAACCCACCAGCTAGTACTGAAGCGTGGTGGCAGTGGAGAAACATACACAGGAAAAGTGCAGGGAGAAGTGGAAGCAATACTTTAAAACAGAGACGCTTGGGTTCACACTATTAACACCACAGAGCCAAGATGCTGGAGGAGACCCTCAGTGGAGAAATGATGGGACCAAAAAAGGAAGAGCCAGTCCTGGCCAAGTCCACATGACACAGGCGCTACCCAGAGAACCCATGCACTAAGCCATGTCAAACCCAGCCAGCCATGTACAACCTTCTCCCCAGTAGCAGGACAACTACATCATGGATGCAGGCCTTGGCTATGGCACTAACTCTGTGGGGAAGGTGCTAACCCTGAGGTGTATCCAACAGAGGAGTGGGGCTTTCTACCCAATCAATATCTCAGATTCCAGTCTGCAAAGCCCAAAAGGACCTGCCTGTAACCTTCTCGGTTCCAACTTTTCTCCGTTTTTCCAGGAATTAAAACCACACCTCTATGACTGGCCACACCTAGAATGTGACCAGGAGGACTCTGGGCTTACCTGGCCCCAATAACAGGCTCACGGGCATCCTTGGAGGCTGCATAATCCATGCCATAGAAATTTAGTCCCAGGAGGATCTTGCTTCGCCACTGTGATTTGGGGTCCAGGACCTGGACACAGGCTCGAATCCACGATAATGGAGCATTAGGGCCAGGCCTGCAAGTTCAGTGGGGAATGGGGCCACTTTTAGCAGAAGGCAGGAAGCCCTGTGTCTGACTCTAGTTTGGTCCTCTAGGTCATCTACTTGGGCCCATTTCCTTCTGTTATGGCAAATACCTCTGAAGACTTGGGAAGCCAGATGTAATGGCACACATCTTTAAACCCAGTTCTTGAGAAGCAGAAGCAGGCAATCTTTATGAGTTCAAGGCCAATTTGGTCTACATAATGATCTCCAGGACAGCCAAGACTTCATAGAGAAACCCTGTCTCATCAATCAATCAATCAATCAATCAATCAATCAATCAATGCTGGAGAGATAGCACAGTGGTTAATGGTTCAAACTGCCCTTGCAGAGGACCGGAGTTCAGTTCCCAGCACCTACACCCAGAGGCTCACAAGTGCCTATAACTCCAGCCTCAGGGGATCCAACACCTCTGGCCTTTTGAGAACCCACACACATGCTTATACCCCCAAACGAGACACACATATATAATTAAAAATAACAGGTAAGTCTTAGAAAAATGAGACACTAAACAAATCACAGAAAAATCTTTTAAAAGGGCAGAACCAGAAATACATCATTTAAGTCTTGTAGGCAAAGTGGCCCTGGCACCTTTTGATGCCAGGTGTCTTGCATGGGGCAAAGTGCTTACATGAGCCCTCCTCATCCCTGCAGTAAGAGCAGGTCTAAAATACTGAGCAAGGAAGAGCCAGCAGACATGCAGCTGGGGCCAAGGCCCAAGGAAAACAAGTGGCAGACCAGATTATGCCTATTTTACTGGTGACACCAGATTCCACCCTTTGGCAGGGACTTCCCAAAGAATCCAAACTCCTGAGAATGGGGCAGGTACACCAATCAGCTTCCATATGGCAGCATACAGGTGCAGAAAAAATGGCTGTCCCTCTATGATGAACCACAAAGCCCATAGGCAGATGTCTGCCTGAGAGACCAAGGTACAACCTTATCTTTCTGAAGACCCACTGTACCTACAGCATGCTACCAGCCCATACTCACTGCTGTGCTGTAGAGTAGTCATATGTCATGAGGCTGAAGCCATCAAGTATGGGGGCCAGTTGCTCGAACTCCTTGTGTGTAAACATGCCAAGCTGGTCAGTCCTGTGATAAGACAAACCTACCTTGAGTTAATAGGTATGGACTGCTGGTTTTCCCAAGAGTCAGAGTACTCATGCTGTCTAGGATCCCACCCTGTAACCTTTCTCTTCTCTCTAGGTCAGTGGTTCTCAACCTTCCTAGTGCTATGACCCTTTAATACAGCTCCTCATGTTGTGGTGACCCCCAACTATAACATTATTTTCGTTGCTACTTCATAACTATAATTTTGTTACTGTTAAGAATCATAATGCAAATACCTATGTTTTCCCATGGTATTAGGTGACCCATGAAAATGTTGTTCAATTCTTCCTCTCCCCAGAGGGTCATGACCCACAGAACCCTGGACTACTTTTCCTCAGGGATGGAGGCAATGTGCTATTTGGCTGGGGTCATACATCCTCTAGGTGCTAAAATGAGGGATGAAGTCAAACAGAGATGTCCCTCTTTCCTTGCCCCTGGAAGACTCTGAGCAAAAGAGGGGCAAGAGCTAAACAGCATATGGGGACTCAGCCCTGTTCCAGAAACATTCCATAGTAGGAACACACAGAAGAGGACAGACTCATAGATGTCCCTGTTGCCCAGACATGGATGAGCAATTTCCCCTTGCCCCAAGGCCTTCTATAAACACATTATCTTGGCCCCATAGTGTAACAGTTGTTCCTATTCCTGCTCCTAATCCAATGGGGCTCAGTCAATCTAAAAACATAAGGATTTTGTGATCTCCTTAAAATGAGAAGGGCTCCCCCATACATAGACTCATTTATTTGAATATTGAGTCACCAGTTAGTTGAACTGTATGGGAAGGATCAGGAGGTATGGTCTTGTTAGAGGGGGTGTGTCACTGGGAGTGGGCTTTGAGGTTTCAAAAGCTCATGCCAGGTCCTCAATCTCTCTCTCTCTCTGCCTGCAGATCAGGATGTAAAGATCTTAGCTACTATTCTAGGGCCATGACTGTCTGCTTCTCACCATGATGATCATGGCCTAACCTAAAATTGTAAGCCCCTAATTAAAGGCTTTCTTTTATAAGAGTTGCCGTGGTCATGCTATCTCTTCACAGCAATAGAACAGTAACTAAGACAGGCTCCCACATGGCAAAGGCTTGCCTGCTCCTAGATTGGACCCTCATCCAATAATTCACCAATGAGCCAGGAAGTGTTGGCACATACCTTTAATCCCAGCACTTTGGAGGCAGAGGCAGATAGATCTCTGTGAGTTCAAGGCCAGAGTGAGTTCTAGGACAGGCAGGGCTAAAACAGAAAAACCCGGGCTGGAGAGATGGCTCAGCGGTTAAGAGTACTGGCTGTTCTTCCAGAGGACCTGAGTTCAATTCCCAGCAACCACATGGTGGCTTTCAACCATCTGTAATGGAATCTCATTCTCTTTTCTGCTGTGCATGAAAACAGTGTTCATATACATAAAATAAATAAATCTTTAAAAAAACAAACAAAAAAACCCAGAAACCCTGTCTCGAAAAACCAAAACTAAACCAAATTAAACCAAAACAAACAAACAAGCAAAAAAACAAACAAAAGGAAAAGAATCCACCCATGTTTATACAGGCTCCTAGTATGTCAGGCCCTGGTGTATTCTAGATCTGATGGCTCATGAAGAATGGCATGGGCTACAGCTGGAGGTTGACAGCCTTTCTTAGTCCTACCTTGTGTCAGGGATTCAGCAGTGCAGCAAGAGGAAGGCTCAGAAAGATGAGGCTGAAGCCTTTGGACAGGAAGAAACTGCTGGAACCTAGAAAGCTCCAAGCAGAGTAGCTATACTTGGCAAAGTCCCACACAGGGATCTTTGACTTCACTGAATGCTGGGGAAGAACACTTACCCTGAAGTCTTACAGCAATATCACCCAACCCCCAGACACTCAGCACAAAGAAAAGCAGGCCTCTTCCAATGGCAGGACAAATCTGCATAATAGACATTTATACCTTGCACAGGGAAGGGGCATAGATACTGTCTGAAGATTCCCAGAAGAACTTCTTCCTCTGTTAAATCACACTGTTCAGGCTACAAGCACACTCTGACCCCAGACTAGAAGCTCAGAGGGAACTTTAGACAGGACTAGTCAAAGTAGACAGTGTCTGCCATCTGCCAGGTAATAGTCCTGCCCATTGTCTGGGGTCCTGAGACCACCAATGCTACTCCCTACTAGTTGTGCTTCTTGGACCAGCTGACCTATTAGTCAGAGCTTACCCCAGAGGTGCGGGACAGGCCAGAAGGCACTCTGCTAATTCATTGTAGATTGCAAAGGTCTGATAACTACATGCTTCTGCCTAGGCACAGCTGGCTTCAGTGTTCAGTGTGGTTTGTAATCATCTGAACTTTGGGTTCACTGCCTTTAGGCACAGACCCCTATGGTCACATTTAGTTCCGCCCAGCAGAACTGTCACAGCACTTGCCCTCACTGTGTCACTGGGGCACTAAGCAGGGCAGGTATGGATGGGGAGAAAATGAGGGCTGAGGGCAAGGAAATGGGAAGCACCTGAAGAACAGAGGTGGGTCAGAAGTTCTGACACCAAAGGAGAGGAGAGAGAGTATAGGGACAGGAGTGGTGGGAATGTTGGGAAGATCGTGGGACCCTGTGGGGACCACTTTCCTCAAGTATGCATTATTCCCAGAGATTCCCTCATGCACCTTCTCACAATGCAACCCAACTCCACAGGTTCGGACATTAAGAACAGCCCGTATGTCAGAATGGCCATGTTCTTAAGTGGTCATGATAAGACAAGCCAAACAGGAACACAGCCAACACTGTCTTAAAATAGAACAACCTCCTAGGGTAGTTGCTGTCAACAGGAAAGAAGGGATGCCATTGGGCCTCTTATTACCACCCTCCCTGCTGCCATCCTCCTGGGTATGTCCTTGGGGGTTCTCTGGGACCGTGTCATCCCCCTTCTGCTTTTGAGGAAGAAAGACTATACAGAAGCTGTTGCTAGAGCTATCCCTTCCCAACCTATCCCACTCCTGCCCCAAAACCCTGGGGAGCTGAGCCATTTCTCTTTGTCCCACAGCACCAGGACAAAATGAGCACATACATGCTTGAGAGACATGAAAACAGCTTGCCAACAGACCATACACAGCATGACTTCCAATAAACAGAAATCACTGCTCATGCTGAAAACCTCACATTCTGAATTAATTCTGAGGGGAGAACACAGTATATCAAAACACATCATTCAGTCCTGGGTCTTGGACAGGCCCCATGCAGGTAATGGCAAAGAAGAAAGGTATCCAGCCCCAGCAGTGAGACACTTTTAAGTGCCACTAAGAGCTAAGATGGGGAATCCTTATACTCAACCCCAGGCTACCCTTTCTTTCCAGTGATGATTACCTTTCCTCGCCAGAGAACAGAATTGTAAGGGCACTGGGCTGGGACCCTCCAGCCATGTGGCCTGGACACCCTGCAGTGAGGGAAAATGCCCGGATAGTGCTGGGGTACACTGTGCTGCGGTGGCAGTGCAGTTGTAGCCTGCAGAAATTACTCATGACCACTGTGAGTGCTAGGTATAAAGCTATGGGCCCAGAAATCTCACTCCATTGCTACCTGCAACCTCAGGGAAGACAGAGGGGTTTCAACCATGCCCTAGGGCCACCTTATCTCAGCAATGCAGCACCCTTTCCTACTCTGGATAGCCCAACACACAAACTTGTTCACTGTCCCTCAGTCCACAGAGCGTGTGCCTCCCTCCTCCAGTCTACCATTAACACCATCTACAGCTGGCAGCTTCAGAATATTAGACTTAACAGCCAGACAGTACACCAACTTAGAGACAACCCTTCCTGGAGCTGCCCTCAACTTTCCTCTGAAACCTCCTGCCCTTGGCGCTGTGACCCAGCCTCCTCTGTCTCCTGTTTCTCCATGTTCCTGGACGGTGAGCCAAGTGTCTGTCCAACTTCTTCCAGGACAACAGAATGGGTGTTGCAGGTTTACCTTACAATCAGCAGTCCCTATTGGCCATCTTGCTGGCCTTGCTGTTCCTCTGGCATCAACCTAAGAGGTCCCTAAGAACTAAAGAAGTCAAGGAAATGTGAAAGGCAGGTTGGAGGTTGACCTGACATTTAACTTGCCACACCCCTCACCACCATTCTAGAGAGTATGCTACTGGCCCCTGCAAAATCTAAGAGGCTGGCTAGAAGCAGACCTGATATCTCCTATGTCCCCAAGATGGTGTGTTCCTAGCCCCTGTAGGTCTGGAGAGCTAATTAAACTAGATCTTCTAATTAAACTAGATATGCCCCTCTACCCTGGTTTTAGTATTGCTGAGAGCACCCTGGTGACCTTGAAAGAAGTGTTCAAGGTCAGCATGGCTGAATAGCTGCCCAGTTCTATAACAAGATCCCAAGGGCCTCAGTGCTGTGGCAGCCCAGCTGGAGGCCAGCCCTTTCCCTAGCTGCTCTGACTTAACCTACCTTTGGTGACAAAGGACATAAGTGAATTTTTATTGTTAGATGTCAGTTGTAGGTGCTGAAATAGAGAGAAGCTCATCAAGATGCTAAGCCTTCATTCTCCAAAGGAGCAGAGGGGTTCAGCCTTCTCAAGAAAGACTGATACCCAGCTAGCTCACTCCATTACTTTATTCAAACATTATACAAGGTTAATTGGGGCTGGGAAAGATTCCAACTACCAACGTTATCTTGCTCTTGTTGTCCGTGAGAGAAGACAACCCACACAAACTCCAGGTTTTCGTGGAGTGTCTTAGGACCAAGGTTTGTGCAGCTATAAGCTCTCACATAACACCAAGTGCAGATTCTCCAGAGAAACAGCTCTGGAGACCTTTCTGGGAGGCAGTAGCCCCTAGCTGTCTTCAGAAGCCTCTAGCTTCTACCCAGGTCGGCAAGACTGCTTGTTCAGCTAAGGAAGAAAATTTCCTCTCTGCTACACCAGCCCTAGGTAAACTCAAGGATCAGATAGTTTAGGTGCTTCACACAAAGAAGATGCACCTTGGGTAAAAACATAGGCCCCAATCCCTGGACAAATGCCTAACTTGGGTTCCTCTCATTGGCAAGGGTGGAATCACTGAAATACAGGTGTAAACCCAGCCTGAGATCCATCAAGACAAAGAGGGACACCTCCTGACCTAGCACCTTGTGGTCAGATCAGCAGACACAGTAAAGGGAGGTTCTAGTAGGGAAGGGTCCTCAGAGCCGAGTCCCAGGGAAGAAAGGAAGAGTATCCCTGCACAACACCAAGCAAATAGAACAAAGCCCAGCTGCACACATATGTTCCACACATTAAAACATAGCCTGGTCTATGTGGGGAATTCCAGAACTATACAGTGAGATGTTGTCCCAAAAAAAAAAAAAAAAGTGATTGAGTTAATGCAGCACCTGCACCATGCTTGGGCAGCTGACATGGACACTAGTTGCTGGAGACCAACTTTGTCACCTAGTACTACTAGAACTCACTCCTAGGCAAAGTGCCAGATAGCCCTCATGCTTTCCACTTTCCAGGTACCTACCTAGAGGCACCAGAGCCCACTGCACTCCACAGTAGGACTCCTGGGATGGGCCTGAATCAATGTGGAGAACCTGCTGTTGTGTTCAATGGTCCCCACTAATGGGCTGAGAGCTGAGGGAAGTGTATAGAGAAAACCCAGGCAGCTGGCAGACATCCACAGTATACAAAGGGGCCTTGGTACCCTCAAGGTTGGGGTGGAGAAACTACCTTGAGCTGGTGGGTCTTAAAAACTGCCTGAGTAGTATCACCTGTAGTGACAGGTGGCACTAAGTGACACAGGATAGGTCTTCAGCAACTAGAGTTCCTGTCAGCTGCCCAAGTACCTTATAGGTGCTTCAGTCACTTTTTTTTTTTTTTAAATAACATCTCACTGTGTAGTAGCCCTGGCTGGCCTGGAACTCATCATATAGACCAGGATAGCCTCGAACACAGAGCTCTATCTGCCTCGGGCTCCTGAGTGCTGGAATTAAAGACAGATACACCACACTTGGCTTTCATCTTTATGAGACAATGGTCTCATCATGTAGCCCTGACAGATTCTGGAACTTGCTATGTAGACCAGGCAAGCCTTAAACTCACAGAGTTCTGCCTACTTCTGCCTCCCAAGTGCTTGGAATAAAGGCATGCACCAACATGCAAAGGCACAAGTCATTTCTGTTATAAGTATCATCAACCTGCCACTGATACCCCAGGACATGGAGGCATATCCAACCATATCCAGCTACTGCTATTTCAGATAGCTGAAGACTCAGAAATGATCAGAGAGAAGGGTACTTTCTTCTAATGTATAGGCCAGGGAGCTCAGCATCCATCTGACGGTTTAAAGGCCTTTAAAGAGAGGGCTGCCTTTGGAAGCTTGGCTACCAGGAGGATTTCCAGGACTCCCACCCAATAGTTCTACATCCCACTCCCCCAATACCTGTTACTGCCCACTGTACCCCAGGTCTACCCTCAGATGATTCTGAGCCTCCTATCCAAGTATTATTATTTCTAAGCCAAAACACCAGTGATTTCTATGCTCTAGGATAGAAGCATAGAAACATGGGAATCCAATTGCCTTGGCTCCAGTTTGAGTATCTAGGTCTCTACATTTTGTCCAAAGGTTCCAAAAGACCTGTACCACATGACTGGGAATGATAAATAGCCAGAGTCTGAAACAAAGGCCAAGGTCCATACAGTGGTCCCAGCTGGCAGCAGCTTGCCCAGCTATAGTGTAATATGCTATAGACATAGAAAGTATTGACAGCCTAACCACTGAACTATGTGCCTTGGTGCCCAGAGACAGATAATGAGCCTAAACTTGGTGGACTCTCATGTTGATGAGCTCCTCAGTAGTATGTCTATATTGAGGAACAAGACAGGTTAGAACAGCAGGTCAGCTTCCCTCACCCCCACTACCTAAGCAGAAGGTAATTAGCATCCGGAGTTTGTTTAGTTTTGTTTTGGAGTGGGGAACCCATGTTGATGAGAGAGGGACTGGGCCCTTGACTGTTTTCCACCCTTAGAGTGCACTTACCCAGGGGTGACAGCAGGTGGGATGACCAGAATGGCCAGCAGCCGGGCCTGGTGCAGCGCCTCAGCCAAGTGAGTAAGCATGTGGATGAGGCCTCTGTAAGAACCAAGAATGAAGATTAGCCCGGAACACTGTGGGGTCCCTGGTACCCACTGCTTTGAGAATATAACAAACAAAATCCCAGCCTTAGGTCCTGTCGCAGAACTACAAGTCCCTTCATAGGGTTTCCTGTACCACCCTTCAGTGTGACCCCGAGAGAGAAGCTGAGGAAAAGGAGACTCTGTACCCCAGCTGAGTCTGTCTTTCCTCATACTTGGGTGTCCCCAGAGAAGTGGTGTTTTCAGAGCACTGAAGGGCCCAGAACACTGATCCAGAGGCATCCTATTCACCGTAAGGCTATGGAACACCACAAAATACTTTGAGCAGCACACCAGTTATGGGTTCTGGGAAGGAAAATGGGGGAGGACACCTAAAGTAAATACTAGGAGAGCAGGAGGGAAGAGATAGGGGAACCAGACAAGAAGGTAGGGGAGGCAGCTGGTGGTGTACCTCAAGGACAAATGTCAGCTTCTCTCCTCATATGGCCTGGGAGCCCATTTCTCATCCTTCTAGTAGACTGCCTGTGACATGTTCAATACCAGCACCTTCCCTGAAAATGGCCATGTTAAAGGAGCTGGCCCAATGCCAGCTGTGCTCACTCAGGGAAGTATTACTGCTTGCTGTGTAAAGGATGTCTTCCCTCTCTTTTGTACAGCGGGAGCCTCAGGAACAGCTCCATCTGCAGACAGGTTGACAAGCCCTACATTCACACAGCCAAAGCTGAGAACCCTTCTGGCCACAAGACCTGCCTGTAAGACATGTATGCAGACAGTCTAGAATCTACTTATTCGCCAAGTCCTGGACAGCAATGGCTTCTGTTTCTCTGCTGTGGCCCAAATTGAGCCATAACTTTTCAAATTGAGTATCAGTGATTCCAGTATGACAACTCTAGCCATGGGACTAAGGCCACTTAAGTAACAATTGTCTGTCCTTCTCTGGTCTGGTATACACTTTGTTGGCTGCAGATGGCAATACAAGTATGATACAGTTTTTGGGCAGTCCATCCTCACGCTCTGTGGCTTATCACTTATCTGCACACCACTTATGCAGATGGACCAGGAAAATGCTATCCATGTGTTGAAGTGCCAGAGGCCCAGAACATAGAAAGCCAACTGCACCAAAGGAGGACTTTGCCTGACTGTGGGACAACAGCAGGATGATCTTTTCCCAGAGCACATGAGACCTAAGGACTAAGAGGTGCCTAAGATTGTTCCAGCGGCATTCAGAAGACAAGTGTGAGCTTACCTAATCCCTCTCAAGGGCCCATACTACAGCCACTCTGGACATAGAGACTCTATAAGAATACCCAAGACAGAGTTCTGGTGGGAACCTAAGCAGACCAGGAACCTGGGCAGGGCCTGTGATCATAGGGACCTGAAACTAGGTGGCCCTGAAGGCTGCCTGCATTGCCTTTCCTGCCATGACTAGCAGCTTCTCCCTAAACACAGTAACCGTGACATCTGGCAATCTGAAGAAAAGTCCCCAGAGATGAGTCGCACAGTTCCTTGACACATTCACTATGCTCTGGGAAGGCCGGGCAACCACCTGTCTCCTGAGACTAAGAGTTATGGGCTCTACCATCACCTTGAGCTAAGGGCAAGCACGTATGTGCCAACTATGTTGACTTAGCTCTTCAAATCCAAGACAGATGCCTATAATGAGAGGTAAGAAGTAGCAACCAGGGCAGTAGTCTCCTTAAATATTCCCATTAATATTCCCTTAAATATTACCACAACCAGGCTCATCCTGGGACAGTGTCCAAAGGAATGACAAACCAGATGGTTTTGGGGGCTCAAAAACCTAGTCACTATCTATGCCTCAGCCCCATTACTGCTCTGCAAACAGCTTTCCACTGTCCCTGAGAATAAAGGCTCAACTAGGCTGCTCCTACTTCCATCTCTCCTACTGCAGACTCTGAGACTCCCACCCCTAGACCTCCCTATCTTATATTAATGATCCATTGGGAGCATAGACACAGTGCAACTGTGTTTTACTGAATTGCTACTTGATGTGTTGAAACAAATGAATTATAGCAAATCTCTGATGAACAAATTTATAGTCTCCAGAATTAAAAGAAGGATGTTGGCAGCAGAGTCAGCTTTGGTGGAGCCCTCTGCCCACCAAGGACACAAAGCTGGGCCTGGGGAGGTCACATGGCACCTAACTCTCAGGCCAGAGCTGGGGTTCTTCAGGGGCACTGCAGGCAGAAGATTCCCCACTAACTCAGGGACACGCTTTTCCCCCTATTGGGGGTCTCTTATCAAGGGCAAGGCCCAGGCACACCTGGTTCTATGCACACCTTTCTCTCAGAATGGATATCAAATAACTGCCTCATTCCCACCCCTATAGTGCTTTTTTAATGCTTTTTGCAGATCAACCAGAACCTCCCTTGCAGGCCACAGGAGCGACATGTGGGGATGCTGCCTTCAAGTGGACAGAGTGGAGATCTACAGCCTTCTGTATATAGCAAAGCCTCAAAGAGTAACACAGGGTAAAGGAAAGGAGAGTAAAGGACAGGAGAAGGGCTCAGCCAGTTCTGAGCTGTGGCTTAGGAAGCATATGTGGAACTCCCTTACACAGGAAAAGAGATTGGGCTGATTCCAGAGCTTCTACTGCCCAAACACTTGCTATGGGCTGCAAACCTCTACTGAGGGTATACCAGACAGCCCCAGCCCCATGCAGGGCAAAATGTTCTTGTGTCATCTTCTAAAGGGCAAAATTCCCAATTTGACAGAGCCAAGAAATGCTAGCTATTTCAGGTGAGCCAAATAACCCAAGCTAACTATCAAAAAGGGGCCATTCCTTAGTGCTGTGGTCAGCCTCAAGCTATGTTGGGGCTGCTGGCACTTTCCATGGTTCAGCCATTTCCTGGTTTCACTGGCAAAGGGAAGTAGGATCCTGTGAGTTTAAGATATGTTGGCTGTTGGCTGGTACTGTGGCAGCATGAGGGCCTTTTGCAGCTTCCTCCTAGTATATCATTCCCATGCACTTGGACATTCCTTCCCTACTAAACATTGTGACCATCACATCCCAGGTCTTGGCCACACTCTACCAGCATCTTTTTAGTCCCAGGGAGTCTGCTTTGTGAGGAGTTTCCACAGTGAGAAAGTCTTCACTTGGATCCAAGCTGAACATCTATAGTATAGACCCGGCCACCCTTCTCTCATTGAGTCCTCTTGGGTGAGGATTCCCCCATTTCCTTTAACCAGCCAGGAAGGGCCGCCTGACTAGCACAGTGATGTGATGTTGTCAGGACAAGCTGCCTGCCCCATGGCTATTCCTGGCTTCTCTGGGTAGGCCTCCATCTTTTGTAGGGTTCCATCCCCAACCCGGAGCCCAGAGGCTGAGGAAGAAAGGCCCTTCCAGGTAGATTCCCTCTTCCTTGGTCCTTCCTCTGGCTCCTCCAAACATAGGGGCCAGAAAGAGAACTAAGCAGCTGCCCATATCCCCACTCACACATGTTTCTGGCTCAGCAACTGGCTCCAGACCTCCACCACAAAACCTTCAAAATGCTGGTTCTGAAAGAAATGGGCAGGTGAGGAGAAATGGGAATCTAGGAGGGTTGGGGGAAGACAGAAAAGATGCCACTGGCTCTGCCTACCTGGCAAAGTAGCCCAGTCACTCATGAGCCAAGACCCAAGTCTGCACTACACATTCATTAGTTCCTCCAAAGCAGGAAGCATGGGGAGGTGGAATCCCACAGCAGCCAGAAGGACAGTTGCCCACACTTCTCCATCCCTCCAATAGCCCAGGTATACTGATGGCCAGCAGAGATGGGGTCACCCCAGGAAGAGTTATGGGGTTTTAGCCAAAGGAAGTTTTTTGGCCCCAAAGACAAAAACTATCCCGCCTTTGGGACTCCCAAAGCTGTGGGCAAGAGGTGGTACAGCCTAAGTGGGGTTTATGCTATCCACTCTGGAAGAACGGGTTACATAAGAAGATACCCAAGAAACAAGTCAGGCAAGGGGTGCCAGGTCATACTGCCTGTAATCTTAGCACTTGGGAGGCAGAGGCTAATGAATCAGAAGTTCAAATCCAGCCTCAGCTACACAGTGAATTCAAAGGTCGGTCTGGACTTTGTGAGATACTGTCCCAAAAAATTTTAAATTAAAAAAAAAAAAAAGCCACTGAGATAGCCTGGCAGGTAAGGGAGCTTTCTGCCAAACCTGAAACCCCTAGTTTAATCAATGGAATTCACATGGTAGGAGAGAATAACTCCACCACGTTTTCCTCTGCCCTCTACAAATGTGCTGTGCCATTTATCCTAAACACACACACACACACACACACACACACACACACAATTACATTAAAGAAAAAAAAGAGGAGCCAGGCAGTGGTAGTCCAGGCACATACCTTTAATCCCAGCACTCTGGAGGCAGAGGCAGGTGATTTCTATAAGTTTGAGGCCATGCTGCATCCTGGTCTACAAAACGAGTTCCGAGACAGCCAAGGCTAAACAGAAACAGAGAAACCCTATCTTGGGGGAAAAAAAAAAAAAGAGGGAAGAGCCAGAATGAGGAGCAGAATGAGACAAGTAGGAAAGCTGGGAGTGGGAGGTACAGCCTGTCTGAGAAGTAGGGCCTCCTGGCCTGTGCTCGAAGCCTTGTCTGAGCTTGAAGTCCTGCGGAACACACAGGTCTCACCTTTGCCACCTGTACCACAGTCTTGCTGAGCTCTTCTATCTCATCTTCACTGTCTAAGACATTCCGGAAATCATCGTAAGTCCAGTCTTCAAACAGAAGCCGAGGTACTGGTGGCAAGAGAGAACACACAGTAAGATTATGGCCCAGAAACACTGAATTACCCTCTGCTGCTTGCTATCTGCAAAAAAAAAGTGTTCCCTTGGCTCCCAGACCAGTTAGATCAGTGATAAGCAGGGAGGCCATCCAAGGCAATCATAGATCTATCCAGTGCAGACATTCTGTATCCACACAGCCTGGCAGGGGGGAAATGGGAACAAGGAAATGCTAACATATCAAATACCTATACAGCTGACCTTTCAGGAAACTGGCTGGGCCAGACCCCAGTTCACCTGCATCCTTGCTGCTGCTACCTTGTCTACCTCAATCTGGTTTGATGGCTTCCACTCCTGCACCACAGGATTGAATGACAGGTCCCCTCCTGGCATTGCTTCTGAGCCTCCAGTAGTTTTCCCTAAGCCTGAGCCCCACGCCCTTCCTCTGCTGCCCTCAGGTTCCTGCTGTTCTTTGGAAAAAATTTTCTTCTCATACCAGCTGTGAGCCTCAGAAGCATAGGAAGGGTAGGAACAATGTCACTCTCGGGCCCAGCCTAAAGTTTGGTTCCAGGAAACTCAGTAATGCTTGCTAGACAGGAAAAAAGAAGGAAGATAAAGAACTATGCAGGAAAACCAACAGCCAAGGAGGGAGGTGTCGGTGTTGGTGGCCAACTGCTCAGAACATTCAGGGAAGAGATTTACCCTCAAGTAGCACAGCCTAGCTTGGAAGCAACATGCAAGGACCTTAATTCCCTGTCCATCTACACGGTATGGCTGCCATGCGCAGGCCTCTTGGACTCACCTATATGCACACCTTTGGCATGCTTCTTGACAGCTCGCATCCACCCTGTCAGAGATGAAAGGGATAGTCAATTTATGGCATAAGTCCAGTTCAGAGATCCAGACCATTACTCACTCCCTCCTATCCTTTGTGCAACCCAGCAGTCACTCCTATCCTCCCTCTCCTCTAGTCTATGCCCCAGTCTCTTCCTCCCATCGTCTTTCACAGAGCTTCAAAGCTCAGGAAAAAATCACTCTTGGTTTCAGAAGTCCAAACCCAGCTAAACACCTCCTGTTAATTTTGTCAGAGGCCAAATGTGGTTCAGCGGTATAAATTAGGCCCCTTCTAACAGTGTGTGTCATCAGTGAAGTGTCCTGTTCCAATCTATCTTCCTCTTTGGACACCAAATACAAAACACTAAGGAAGAGACAGAAAAGGGGAGCCAAAATCTTCATTGCCAGGCTGAACAGTTACTCAGAGCAGTAACTCACATGCAGTTACTCACATGCAGCCCTGACATTCAAGAGAAGGAACTTTGAACAGCTCCTGGGACTACAGTCAGAAGGAAAGGAGAGGCACACATTCCCAGTGCCCTTCAATCTGTCCAGGATTGTACCTCACCTCCTATAGCTGACCAGACTTGCAAATGTAGGCATGCTATTGTATAATTCAAATGCTGATTTCTGTACCCCCTATATCTTGTTGCAATCTTTGTTATGAGAATCTCCTTCCTCAATGTTGTATAAATAATGTTCCCCAATTGTCCCCAGGTATGCCAAAAAAAGCTTACATCCAGTTGCTGAACTGGGAAAAGAATAGGGCTGGGACTTCCTGCCAGCCAGGGGAGGAGGACTTAGAGGAGGAAGTAGGGGATTGAGCCACAGGTAGAGGTCTAGGAGGCATCAAAGAGAAAGCTGGAAGAGAAAAAGCTACAAAGTGCAAGTCTCTCTGGAATGTGGGCTGGGAAGAAACTAGATTACTTTAGAGGGTGAAGAATAGAATAATATCTGATCAGTTATTATGTTATGAAGCTTATTATTAAACAAACATAAAAGAGTCTCAATTATTTATGTGATAGCTGGGCTAAGAGAGAAACTATGAAAAAATGGCTCAGTGGTTAAGGGCACTCACTGTTCTACCAGAGAACCTAGGTTCAAATCCCAGCAGCCACATGGCAGCTCACAACTGTTTGTAACTCCAAAATCTGATATTCTCACTTACACATACATGCAGGCAAAATACCAATGCACATAAAATAAAGGTAAACAAAAATAACTTTAACACAGAGGACTTCACAGTTGTGACCACCTCTTTACCTGGCATGCCTCACATTCTACATACCAGGCTTCACTCTGAGCCCAGCCATGTGGCATGAGAAAGCAAACTACATATCTGTTACACTCACACCCAGTTACATACCTAGTCACACCTGACATCTCTCATGGTCACACTCCTATAATCACATCCAGAGTCATACACAGACAGGCCTTGAACTTATAATTCTCCTGCTTCAGCCTCCTGAGTAGCAGGGATTACAGGCCTATAATAAGAGTCACAGTTGAGATATTTATATATATTCACACTGATACTCATTAGTCATAATACATTACCTAGCCAGGTGTGGTGGCACACACCTTTAATCTCAGTGCTTGGGGGGCAGAGGCAGGTGGACCTCTTGTGATTTCAAGGCCAGCCTGGAGTTCCAGAGCAACCAGAGCTACATAGTGAGACCCTGTCTCAAAAAAAAAACAAAAAGTAAATAACCAGAATCATAGACTCTCAGACAGACAGAAAGACACACACACAAATATACACATATACACACAAACACACACCCTATACTTTTATACTCACACAGACACATGTGCACACTATCCTACTCTTCTTAGCCCTCAGGCACTAATTCAAGCACTAATAAGGAAGAAGGAAGTGGAAAAACCTTGGTCCACATCATGGAGGCCTGTGACTTCAAACATCTCACGACCACGTCTCTTCAGCTGCAGCCAGACTGGTGAGATCTGTGTGAACTTGCTCCCAAAGACCTTGGCAACATCATAGCCATGGCTGTTCCACTGGCGGAGGAGGAAGAGGACCGACAAAAAAAACAAGTGAATATATACCTGCATTGCTGTGGCTGTCGCTTGATGCTTTGGACATGCCCAAGGCAGCCATTGGTATCAACAGTGCTGCAATCTGAGCTGCTATCAGTCCCCTGCATGGGCTTCCCTCTTCCACTCTGCAAAACTACTGGGACTGCAGCTTACTGCCTGGGATCTGGGATGACGTCCCTTCACCAGGTCTCTACAAGCCCCCAAAGCGAACTAGGCAGCTCTACCCTTTCTATACACAGGAAGCACTGATGTGGGTCATCTGAAGCGACAAGGAGCAAGCCCCAAGAAAGCCTGGTACCCTTTCCTCTGATGTCTTCATGTTAGCATCTCTCCTACAGTCTCACAGTAGCAGCAGCCATGGAGAGCTCAACACCAGCCAGAAGGACAGCCTTGTTCTGCACCACAGAACCCTGACTTACTGGAGTGACGTAGCCTAGGACCTCTCCAGCAAAGTTTCTCTCCCGAGCCCTTGCTGAGCAGTAGCTGCGATGCTCAAGAACCACATCCTCAGCTTTGATGTCTGTCACAACCAAACCCCGCTCTTGAACAGGTTTGTCTGAAAACTGAGTCTGAAACAAAAGGGAAAGGAAAAAGCTGCTTGACCTCTCTTTGAAGCATGGAATGTGGCATTTGAAGCAACAGTGGCAGCAGCAAGCCTGTTCCATTCAGCCCTGTGGGTGGAGGATTAAGACCATACTAAGTAACTTACTTTAGAAGGGCACTAGTACTCAGTGAGCACAGTAGCATTTGCCAGGGGCTATTCAGCCCTTAGTTTGGGCTGGAGATCAGGCAGGAGGCTATTGTGGCTCCGTCTACATATGAAGATTGACATTTAGCACTCCAACTACTGGGTACTCATCTAGATATCCCAGGTCCATACACTGTGGAAGTATCAAGCACGTTATCCCACTGGCCAATCCCTAGCTGAGTCCCCCAACCTGGATGCTAGTATACCCCACCTCTGCCCCTGGAAGTCCTCCATCAGGTTCTCAACTTGCCTGTTCTGTCCACACTTTGGAGGCCCAGCTCAGCCTTCCCTAATGCCATTTGATTCCCTAGTCATCCTGTGAGAGACAGAATTTCTATTGCTGTGATGAAACACCATGACCAAAGCAACTTGGGAGAAAAGGGTTTATTTGGCTTATACTTCCATATCACTGTTCATCATTGAAGGAAATCACTGAAGGAATTCAGGACAGGAATTTAAACAATGCAGGAACCTAGAGGCAGAAGCTGATGCAGGAGCCATGGAAGGGTACTGATAATTGGCTTGCTCAGCCTGTTTTCTTATAGAATCCAGGACCACCAGCCCAGGATGGCACTACCCACAATGGGCTGGACTCTGCCCCATCAATCAATAATTAAGAATATACCCTATAGACTTGCTTACAATCCGATCTTATGGAGGCATTTTCTTAAGCGAGGTTCCCTCCTCTCAGATGACTTTAGCTTGCCAAGTTGACATAAACCATCTAGCACACAGATGCTTACTGTATGGGTTCTCTGCCACAAGGTACAAAGCAGCTATCAGTCCAGGCCTGGGTCATAGGCATGGTCCGTGTCAGCAGTCTGACCAACAGCATGGGGACTATTGGGGTTAAGGAGTGAGCTGGATAGAGGCCTACCCTTGCATTTGCATCCCCTAGGATATCCCAAAAGAACAGCAAAACGGACATGATGGAAACACAGTTTGGGACTGTAAATATGAGAGAATTCAACAATGTGATAGGGAAAGCAGACACATGGAAATTGTTGCAGAATACAGAGTCTGAGTATGGAAGATAATGACACCAAAGAGTCTATTGCTTTCAATTCCAGAGGCTGTAAACTCACAGCCTCAGCAAGATTCATCCCCAGAGCAACACAGCCTGCCCACTGGCACACCACTACCTTGTCAGAAAGCTGTGTAAGGAGCCAAGACTCTCCTATGTCCTGATTCACAAAGATCCCAGCCAGGAAGAACAGGTTAACTCTTAGTCACTGTGGTCACTTCAAGTTCCCTACCTTTTCCAGCAGCATCTTTGAGGCAGCTTTTTTGGCATCTGACTTTGACAGGGTGGTGTGAACAGAGCCACAGGCCAGAGTAAGCCAGAGGACATGAAAAAGTGGCCACATGGTGGGTGTGTCACAGCAGGAACCAACCTCTGGTTCTAGGGGGCTGCAGAAAAAAACAAAAAGAAGTGCATGAAGGCAGATGACTAGCACAGAAATGTGGCATCAACTAGACAAGTAGTCTTATCCTAATAGGGCTGACTCCTTCCGGCCCTTAGGCCAGCCCTGGTTACTTAAGTCTCTAGAACTTCCAGGCTTCCCTGCCCAGATCACCAGGTCCTCATGGACAACAAGCTTTCCAAAGGTGTCCTTCTGACCACTAACAGCCAGCCATCTAAAAAAACTGATTCCCACATTCCCCTCAAATCAAAAGAAACTTCAGCAACAATGGGGCCAAAGTGTGAAATAACGAAGCCACAGAAGGTACTTGAAAAACTATAGATAACTACTTATGCAATCCCAGAGTAGAGGTCTTTCCCAAGTATATCAATAAGGAAAGAAAGTATCAAAGTTTAATAGTTAAAATGTTTAACTTGGGCAGGAGAGATGGCTCAGCTGTTAAGAGCACTGACTGCTTTTCTAGAAGACCTAGGTTCAATTCCCAGCACCCACATGTCAGTTCACAACTGTCTGTAACTCCAGTTCTAGGGGATCTGATACCCTCATGCAGATACATCCAGGAAAAACACAAATGTATATAATTTTTTTTTTTAAGAATACATTAAAAAAATGTTTAGCTTTCAGGGCTGGAGAGTTGGCTCAGAGGCTAAGAGCACTGGCTTCTCTTCCAGAGGAGACAGGTTCAATTCCAGCATCCACATGAAGCTCATAATTGTCTGTAATTCCTGTTCCAGTAGATATGACACCCTCACACAAACATACATGCAGTCAAAACACCAATGTACATGAAATAAAAATAAATAAATAATTTAAAATGTTTAACTTTCAAAGCTGGGTACTGTGTTAAGCCTACAGTCTCAGCTACTGGGGAGGCTGAAAGAAAAAGCTTTCTTAAACCCAAGGAGCTCATAGCTATCCTAGGCAACATAGCAAGACCCTGTCTCAAAATTTAAAAACATAGCCAGGCAGTGGTGTGCCTTAAAAAAAGTCGGGATTAAAGACATGTGCCACCATGCCCAGCTTAAAAATACTTAAAGTAGGGGCTGGAGAGATGGCTCAGTGGTTAGGAGCACTGATAGCTCTTCCAGAGGACCAGAGTTCAATTTCCAGCACTCACATGGCAACTCAAAACTGTCTGTAACTCCTGTTCCAGGGGACCCGACATCCTCACAGACATACATGCTGTCAAAACACAAAACACCAATGTACATAAAATAAAAATAAATAAAAAAAGACTGCTTTAAAAATATTTAAAGTAAAACTTTAATTTAGGAAATAAAAAGCAAATTTAAAGACAAAGTTAGTCAGAAAAACTTATTTGGGACATATTTGACAAATTTCTACCTATAACTATCCATAATATTCAAAGAAATAGTACAAATAAAAAAAGCTGCCAGGCATAATGGCACACACCTTTAATCCCAGCACTTAAGGAAGCAGAGGCAGGCGATCTCTGTGAGTTCAAGGTCATCCTGATATACAAAGTGAGTACAGGACCGCCAAGCCAAGAAACCTTGTCTCAAAAAAACAAAACAACACCCCAAAACAGCAAAGCCAGATGTGGTGGCACATGTCTGCAACCCCGAACTTGGGGAGGTAGAAGCAGGATGATGAGGAGTTCCAAGGCCAGGTAGGGATGTGGACGCCAGCCTGCTACATAAAATCTGTTTCAAAAATAAATAGGTGCTGGGCAGTGGTGGTGCACACCTTTGATCTCAGCGCTTGGGAGGTGGATCTCTGTAGGCCAGCCTGGTCTACAGAGGGAGTTTCAGGACAGCCAGGGCTACATAGAGAAACCCTATCTTGAAAAACCAAAATAAATAGGCAAATAAACAAAAAAGACATCCCAGTAAACATGATCCCACTATAAAAACAAGAACAGGTTTCAAATACAGAGACACTTAGAGCCTTAGAAATGAAAGAAACACAGATGAGACATAAGATGGTGTCTCCACTCAGTATGTGAAGAGTTACAAAGAATGTTTCCTGGGAAAACAACCAACTCTTGGGCCAAGTGGGAATTCCAGTTGGGAAGGGCCTTTTTGAATGACAATGTGGCCATAAATATTATACTGTCCACCATACACTTCCTTCCTTTTACAAGTTCCACAAAAAGGATGTGTCGTCTCCCCCACCCCCCCAAAGCTTAGGGATTCGGCACCTCCAATACCAAAACACAGACAAGCATGGCGGAGTTTATGACTGTGATCAATGCAAAAAAAAAAACACTACAGAACTGCATTTCTGCAGCACAGTCTGTTTTCATTTGAGACAGGATCTTCCTAGGACCATCCCAGCTGGCCTCCAACTCAAAATCCTCCTGCATCAGTCTCCCAAGTGACAGGGTTACAGGCATATGCCATCACCTTAGCCTAACAGTCTTGTTTTATGTGCATATGCTCACATAAAAAAGTATGCAAGGAACAAAAATAGAAGCAGATGGGGAACTACTGCTCATTTCTTCTATGTTTTGCACCGAGTTTCCATTAGTTGTACACTTCACTTTTAGTCCTTAGAAATTCTGGCCAGACATGGCCCAACTGGGCTGTCACTCCCACAATGGGACTTCAAGACAGGGTGTGCAGAAGTGTATTCATCTAGTCTCATGTCCCTGAAAGCCTCATGAGGGGCCCTGCAAAAGCCCAGGAGGGTTCTGTGGAGGCTGGCCCAGCCCACTGCCCAACAGGTGAGCATACAGCTTTCCCTTGTGGTCAAGAGCACCCAAGGATGTCAGAACCTAGGCCAAGAGACTCCAGAAAAGCCAACCAGGCAGGGTATGAACCACTAGACAACAACACAGAGACAGGCCCACACAATGCCTGCCTGCCCATTTCCTATGACCTTCTGGGCTGGTTGCTTGTTTCCCTTCTCCTTCTTTTTGGTGTCATTTCCCTGACACTGCTCCTGGCGTGTCCCAAGGAAAGCTAGGGTTGTGGAAGTAAGCCTCCAAGCTTTGGCACCCCAGGACACCAACACACCTGCATGAAGCTATGACTAACAAATGGTCTTCAAGGACAGCAAACCAGGAAGATTACACTAGAAGACAGGCAAACCACAAGAAAGCTTAGATCTGAGGCTATGAAGCCTTAAGCTATCTGTTTAGAGGGGTAAGATCCAGAACTCGCTCATCCTAGTCTCCCATCCCACCAACTTCTCCCCTATGGCAAAATGAGAATTAAGAGGAAATAACTTCCTGTATCTCACTTTACCCTAGCTCACCATTTTGTCCTTACAACTTTGAAGCTTAGACTCTGTGGCCCATTCCATAGCCCCAGGGAATGGGACATCCTGACCATAGTACAAGGTTGTAACCAGTGGCCCAGGAAAACATACAGCTTGCCCGCCTAGTTTGGGACTGTGACTACCCTAGCTCCCAGGGATGTCTTTAGCGTCTGCACCTACATAAGCAAGGCTTCTCTCCCTTGGGTAAAGAACTGGGTCACAGAAGGAAAGAAATAAGAAACCCAAGGTAAGCAGCCCAGGACTGAGAGTTTGTACACGTGCCGGGTGATCTTGAGTCTCTACTAATATCTGTTGCCTAGACTTGTAGCTGGTCATTGCTTGTGTAGTCTAAAGCCCCTCTGCCGACCACCTCCTTGCTCTCTGACCCGTGACTTTAAACCTACAGAAAAAGGGTCAAATAAGCCCCAGTGGCCCAGGCCTATAATTTCACTACTTGAGACTTGAAGTACAAGAATCTAAAGTTTAAGACCTGTCCATACTATGGAGTTCTAAGCCAGCCTGGGCTACTTATCAAGACCCTTTTCAAAATAAGAGAGTGGGGTAAATGGGGCTGGGAATGTAGTTCAGTAATTTAGCACTTTTCTGGAATGTATGAGGCCCTGGGTCCAACCCATTTGCCAAAAATGAGAGGTGGGATGTGCTGGAGAGATGGCTCAGCAACTAAGAGCACATACTGCTCTTGTAGAGGACCTGAGATAGGTTTCCGGCAGCCATGTCAGGAACCCACAATCACCTACAACCCCTGTTCCAGGGTTTATGACAACCCATTCTGATTTCTATTAACAGCCGCACTCACATGCTCATGGACACAAAAATGTGTCAAAAAAAAAAAATAAAACTTTTTAAAAAGGTGGGGCCCTATCTGGACACATGGAGGAAGACAGGTCATTTAGTTTGTATCTGGCAGTAGGGCAAAAGCAAAATCAGCATAATGCTACCACCATGTACCTAGCTGCTCACAAATGTGGCTCTCCAAAACTGGGTGGTGGTAGTGCACACCTTTAATCCCAGCACTTGGGAGGCAGAGGCAAAAGGATCTCTGTGAGTTAGAGGCCAGCCTGGTCTACAAAGTGAATTCCAGGACAGCCAGGGTTACACAAAGAAACCCTGCCTTTAAAATAAATAAATTCATACATACACACATAAAAGGTGGGACTTTCTCCAACTTTCCTGACTGTCAGGATGTGCATGGGTGTGGCATGTGTTATGATACGAAGGGTGCTGAAGCTACTGCACCTTCCATGGCTCCCAGTGACAACTGCACTGATGACCATCAGGGCAAATTCTCCATCATGTTCTTTGTAGAACAGACTCCTAGGGTCTCAAAGTATTCTCACATCAAAATGTGTTTTGTCCGTAAGCATCAATGACTATCCTTTAGGCAGAGCACCCTGTCTGCACATAGTATGAAATGTTATAAATGTGGCCTACGTGAGTCTTGGCTCCTGCTTTATACCAAGCTAACAATGGAGAATATGCTACGGTTCCTGAAACTCCCATCATACTGGAAGGTCTGTCTCAAAGAGGCTGATCGAGAGTCCTAACAGAAACTTTCAAATGTTTCTCAAGCAGACTAAAAGCAAGAAATGTCAGGTGCTTTTCACAGAGAAATTCATTGATGTGTGTAAACCGTGTGCATGTGCAGAGTTAAAGAAGCTAATCAGAGTGAACACTACTTTGTGATGCAGGGTCAATCTCAGTTCTCTTTCTTAAGAACTAGCTTTAGGGAACTAGCGATGGTTAAGAGCACTGGCTGCTTCCCTGGAGAATCTGGGTTCAGTTCCCAACACCTACATGGCAGCTCACTGCCCTCTTCTGGCCTCTGTGAGCACTGCATGCACATGACACAAATGCAGGCAAAACCCACACACACATAATTAAGTTGGTGAGACCATTAAATGACTGGGGGCTGGGGGGAGCTGGAGAAATAGCTCAGTGATTAAGACCATTGGCTACTCTTCCAGAGGACCCAAGTTCAAGTCTCAGCATCCACGTGGCAGCTCACAACTGTAACTCCAGTTCAGGAGATGACATCCTCTTACACATATACATGCAAGCAAGACACCAACACATAAAAAAAAAAATTAAAAAAGAACTGGCTTTAGTCTAGGCATAGTGGGTCACATCTGTGATCCCAGCACTAAGAAGGTAGAAGCAGAAAGATTAAGAGTTCAAGGCCAGCCTGGGCTACCTGAGACCCTATCTCAAAACAGTAACAACAACAAAGAGGCCTTTGACCCTCAGCCTGATCTCCTGCTTGGGTATTTCAGGATTTGAGGAATGCTGATTGATGTGCCCTGAGTGTCTGTTACTACCACTGCCTATTATGAGCTGTGTAGCACCGGGAAGTGAACCCATGGCTCCACATACCAAGCAAACCCTGGGCCACATTTTCAGCGCTCTGGAGTTCTTAATAGAGTCACTGTTCTCTTATGGTACGTATGATGGTCATCCGACATTTTCACTTTTGAGAACTAACTGTGGGGCGAGTTGTTCATATGAGGTGGGTGAGTGTATGGTTGGAAATGAAGGTGACGTAAGAAGCAGGATGATCACAACCCCAGGTGACATTTCACAACAGCCAGGTGACATTTATTGACCACATGTTGCATGCCAAACCTGGTGAATTACCCACAAGTTCTCCCCACGGCCCAGGACCCCGGCAGGCATCAATGTCATTCCCATTCACAGATGAGGAGACCAACCCAGGGGGCAGCCCACCAAGCTTCTGGGCATGTGGCTACCATACCATGCCCAACTGCCCAGTGCAATACAAACAGGACTGCTACAAGATGGCTCAAGTTCCAGTTCTGTAACCAGCACACGGTCTCTTGGCCTCCCTGGGCTCCAGTCTAGAGACCTGTGGAAAGTCCTTTAGAATTTTCTAGCACAGACTGTCTGAAGCTGTGCTGAGGGTAAGGCCTAGCCTCTCGTACCCAGTGAACCTGAAGGAACCCACACAACTTGCTGTATACCCTCCTACCTCAGGCTGAGCCTGCTGGCTACATTCTGCCACACTGAGCTCATTCTCTACGCCCGACAGCCACTCTGGCTCCACTAACTTGTTTGTACACTCACATAATTTTCCACTTGTGACTCCACAAGTTATGCACACTACCTCACACATCTTGAAATCTCTTGCTTCATTATCTTACATTCTGGCTCTTGTCTATACTCCTTTATACATCACTCATCCATCCTTTTCCATACCCAGCCACAATGGCACATACACTTGCACTCACATTTATTATTGTGCTAAGGTTCACACGTGCTTCCTGGTGCTTCCTTGTTCCCCTCTTTCCCTGCCTTTTTTTTTTTTTTTTTTTTGTCTTTTGTTTTTAGAGACAGGGTTTCTTTGTGTAGCCTGGACTCACTTTGTAGACCAGGCTGACTTCGAACTCACAGAGATCCTGCTCCCTCTGCCTCCCAGGGTGCTAGGATTAAAGGTGTGCATGAGCGTGCCCGGCTCCCCACCTCTATTTTTGAGACAGGGTCTTGCTATGCAGCCCTGGCTATCCTGAAACTCACTATATAGACCAGGGTAGTCTAGAACTCACAGAGATCCATCGGCCTGCCTTTGCCTCCCAAGTGCTGGGATTAAAGTCATAGGCCATCTTGATTTTATACAGTGACTTGTGCCCTCTCATCTTCTCACATTACTGTTTGCTCTGAAGCTCCCTCACACTTGTCCTCACACTCCCACAATGCCACATTCTCTTCCATACTTGCTCTCATCCTAATACTCACTCTATCACCCTGGCTCACACTAACCCAGCTGCTCTTACCATCACACTCATTCTCACTCTTTCTCACGTTAATAAATTCATCTTCACACTTGTTCTCACACAAACTCTCACACGAATTCTGGCCCTCACACTCCCTCACACACTTATATCCACTTGCTCTGTCGCATACTCACATACTCTCACACTTGCTTTCTCATTCACATCTGCTCATTCTCACACTAGCTCATACTCGCCCTCAAATCCGTTTTCACACTTGCTCACATTCACCCCCCACAGCTGCTCATTCTCACACAAGCTCATGCTCACCCTCACATGTTTCTCACACCAGCTCACACTCATTCTTACACTAGCTCACTCAGTCCCACATTTGTCTATTCTCACACTAGCTCATTCTCACATTGACACACTCTGCCTCACCCTCACATTCGTTTCTCCCACATTAGTTCTCATCCGCGAGCTCTCCTTCCCGCTCACACTCTGCCCGCTCTGTCCGGGGAGAGCCTCGCTGCTCGACGTTCCGCATCACGATGCGGAAGCTGAAGCAGTCCAAGAAGGAGCAGGCGTCGCCGCCGCTGCCGGGCTCACCTTCATGTCAGGAGACCGGCCAGACCCTTCAAGCACGGCCGGAAGACGATTCAGGGAGCCGGAAGTCCCGCCCACAGAGCTCCACACGCTCCCGCTGCGCCACGCCAGCTTCCTAGATGCCCTGCGCATGGCACGCTGGGATGGGGCGGAGCCAAGACGGTTGAGGGCGGGGTTAGGGGCGGAGCGTCGTAGCTGCGGAAAAGGCGGGGAAGGGCTGTGAGTGGGTCCAGACCCCGCATTTGGGTGGGGACAGCGTAACGGTACTACGTGGTCGTGGGTGCTGTTTCCAGTCCTGCAGCCAGTCTCCTGATTGCTCAGGGTCTGTCGTGCAGCAGAATCGTGGAGTCAGATCCCGAGATCCTCACAGGGATCCTGGTGGTGATGTGAGTGTCCCCTGCTCCAGGCTTGCTGGCTGGTTGCCTTAGCGCCCGCGCTGAAGTCTACATCGCGTCCACCTGTGCAACCAACCCTGCCAAGTCTGGGTGGCGCAGGTCACTACGCAGCTGGTCAGTTCCATGGTCTCTCAGGTGTCTCAGGACAAACTGTACTTCATGCACTCTGTGCTCCAAGCCTTTCGACCTCTCCACATTATCCCCGCTTCCACATTTCTGTCACCATCCCCAGGTCTGTAGTGCCCACGACACGGTCTCCAACAGGGACACTGTAGTCCAGGCAATGTAATGTCTTTCTCCGGATGGCCTTGCACAGCGAACATTCTACCTGTCCGAATCCCAGAGGTGGCTCTGTCCTCATTTTGGTCTTGCAAATTGTAGGAGCTAGAAACCACAGAGGTGGACAACACTCTCCCCACCCCCATCTTGTGGGTTGAGAGCACACGTGACCAGTATTTTTATTTTTCATCAAGCTGACTAGTCCCCACCCCCATCCCTTACTGTTCCCAGCAGTTTCCTGCAGAAAACCACATTTGGTTTGTCCACACCCAGTTAAACCCTCTGCCCCACTCCACTAGGGTGTGTTCCAGGATTTGCAGTGAGGCTGTTTCCCCATTCCTGCTGCTGCAGAGGTTTCTCACTGAGCTGAGCTTTGTGTTCTTCCTTCCTAATCACATTTCCTCCTTTCTCTTCCCCATATTTTCTGCCAGCTGTCCCCCAAGTCTTTCTATAGGGGCGAGGCTGGGTGTGTATGGTAAGGCCTGTGCATCACCGTCTGCTTTCCTGGTATCCAGCTCAGCACCCCACTATGAACAAGTAGTGACTCCAAGTAGGGCAGAGCTCTGGAGAGGTGGATGGCCGGGGAATCCTACAGTCCTAGCGATTCTAAAGAGACCAGTCTTCTTTTAAACCAGCCAAAGCATTTGGGTCCAATTGAGGGCAGAGGTCTCTGAGCTGAAGACTTGCAAAATCCACTAAGGATTCAATGCCCGAAGAACGAAAGAAGAGGAAAAACAAAGAGTTGATGACCAACCCCTCTTCAGGGCTCCATTGGACAGGTGCTCAGGAACCTGTTGAGTTGCCCAGCACAAAATGTCTGCCCCTACCTCCAGCTGCATACTGGACCAAGGTGCCCCAGATGGCTGGTGTGTTTGTGAATACTGGCTTCTTCCCCCTCCATGGTGCTGAGATTGAACCTAGGACCAAGCACCTACTTGGCAAGGACTCAACTGCTGATCTCCAGCCCCAGCCCAAAACTGATTTCAAGTGGCTACCCACCTTTTAGTCGCACAGAAAATACAGAAAGATGGATAGAAAAGTCTAAGGGAAACAGAACCAAGGCACTAGTGCTTCTGTATTAATGAATCCATTCCACTTTTTATATTTCTGGGCTATTTAAGGTAACTTTAGATTTACTGCATCTATCTATCTATCTATCTATCTATCTATCTATCTATCTATCTATCTATCTATCTATCTATTGCTGTGTGTGTGTATGTGTGCAGCAAGCAAAAGCAGGAGGAATGTGGGTATCAAAGGACAAAGTCTGGGAACTGCCTCTCTCCGTCCCCCCATTTGGCTTCAAGTTGTCAGATTTCTGGTCAAGGGCCTTTACCCACTGAACCAGCTCCTTGGCCCAAGGAATTAAATTTTTTTGTCTTAAATTTAAATTCTTGAATACCGAAGATCTTGATGCTCATTTAAAGAAAGTACTAAAAAAAAAAAAAAAAGTGTTTATATTAGAAATTTAGGCCAGATGTGGTGGTGACAGCCTCTATAATTATCAGCACTTGGGAAGGGAGAGACAGGAGGAAGATAGCCACAAGTGCAAGGCAAGCTTGGGTTATATAGCAACAACACACATTCGTTTTGAAATTTTGAAAATGTTCATTTAACTGTGTTTAAAGTGGAATAAAATATTATGCAAAGGTATCTAAAAAGTAACTGTAAGAAGGCAGGCATGGTAGCTCATAACTGAAATCTGATATTTAATGAGCTCAAAGCCAGCCTGGGCTAAATGAGGGCCTGTCTATAAATAAACAAGCAAACTGAATCCTAACTACTTAACTTTAATGTAAACCTGAGTATGACTCCCCTGGACAGAGCACTAAACCAGACCTCCGTCAGTTTCTCAGCCTTTGCTGCCACAGCGATGTGGGATGTCCTGGCCACTGTCCAAGCTCTAAATCTGAGCTGTAGGACCCTAGGCTGTTGTTCTGAGGCTGTTTGGCTTGTACTGACATCTATCCATAGTTCACACTGGAAAGTAGACAAGAGCAGGGCCAGTTGCTGTTCACCCAGTGGCTTTCTCTGCTCTTCTTCTGGGACTACACCACCCTCATGCATATGGCCAGTTAAAGGTCTTCAGCCTAAGCCTGCTTCGTGGGGACAACCTTAGAGGGGTCCTCAACAGTGCCCCTAGGTGGGGTGAAGGTAGAGTCCTAGTCTTGACAGTGGCTCTGTGCCAGTCCTCAGTACCAATAAGGCCCTGCCTGACAGTGAAGACCCATGTCTCTACTGTGTTTTAATCAGAGGCCTTGACCTGTGTTATCCGGAGGAGGGTATCTGTTTCATGCCATTCCTGGATCCGGAGACATCCCTGTGCAAGGCGTAGAAGTCAGAAGGATGGATGCATCCCAGCAGTGCCTGCTGCAGATCCCTCCCCCATTGTGGACAGAGACATCCTCTCTCAGTGCTGGAATAAGCAATTCCAGGAAAGAAGGAAGGAGGAAGCTTCTGGAAAGAGCTCCAGGGCCAGCACAGAAAATTGTTTATGTCCCACAAGGCTGGCCTGGCTGACCTTGGCCATGCTGATTGCTTGATACAGGTGTCTGGTCAGCATCTGGGAAGGCATGTGGTCCTATACCTAGAGCATTTGGGCTTTGCAAAGAGTCGGTACCTAAGGGTAACTGCAGGGGATTTTTGTTTGTTTGCTTGTTTTCTGAGACAGGGTTTCTCTGTGTAGCCTTGGCTGTCCTGGACTCAAGTTGTAGACCACTTTGTAGGCTGGCCTCAAACTCAGAGATTCACCTGCTTCTGCCTCCCTGAGTGCCGGGATTACAGGTGTGCAACCATCATGGCCCAGCTGCAGGGGATTTTTTTTTTTTTTAATGGTTTTTAGTATTCTGAAACTAGCCTAAAACCCAAAACTAGAGGGAAGTAGCTGGTTGCGTGGCAATGATAGACAAAGAGGTAATTCTTCTTATTGGATGATTATGTTGAATGGTGCCCCTTCCTCGAAACACTGTGCATGTCCTAACTTCTACCATTTTTCAGTGTGACCTTATTTGTCAATAAGAACTATGCACGTAAAATTAAATTAATAATCTTGGATTAAGGATTAGATTGGACCCTAAATCCAATGATGTGAGGAGAGGGTGTCCTTATAAGAGGATGAGAGGGAGATTTGAGACCAACGAAGGTAGGAAAGCTGTGTGAGGGTGAGGAAAGAAGGGAGTAACACAGCCCCGAGGCCAGGGATGCCCAGCAGTAACCTGCAGCTGCCTCAAAGCCTCCAGAAGAACCCCACCTGGATGCTGCCTTTAATTTTGACTTCTGGCTTTCAGAACTGTGAAGAAACAAACTCCTGTCGTTTGTAAGCACCTGGTCCTAGTTACTTTTCTATCACTTTTTTCACCATGACCAAGACAAATTATAAAAGAAAGTGTTTAATTTGGATTATGATTTCAGAGGGTTAAAGTCCACAATGGTAGAGTGAAGAAAGAGCTGAGAGATCACATCTTGATCTACAACCACAAGGCGGATCGAAAGCAAGCACTGGGACTCACACAGGTTTTTTGAAACCTCAGAGCCTTGCTCCAGTGATATACCTCCTCCAACAAGACCTGTAAGCGCTACTCATTAAATTCTACTTTATTTGAGGTTCCTTATGCCTCTACCTCCCTTCCAACCCCCCAACCCTAGGCAGGAGAGAAAGAAGGTTAGAAAGGGAAGTAGACTTCTTGAGACTTAGTTCTGGCTGGTTAGGGTCATTGGGCTCTTTTGGAAATTACCAGTCATCAGGATATTCAGCAGTCCAGCAACAGCAAACAGCAAAGGCAGCAGGATGAATGGGCAGTCTTCTTCCTCCTCTGTCTGTCTCCTCAAAGCCCTTGCCTTCTTTCTCTGGATTCCTGTACTTATACTCTCTTAGAGTCCTCAGAATTAAATTATCTCCAGCTGGTAAAGACCACAGCCCTCATGAGGCAGCCATCACTTGTGGATAAACTAATGCAATCACATGTCCTACACTTGGGATTAAAACAAAAACATATTTACATAAATAACTGAGTTTTTAAAGAAACCAAAACTTCTACTACAAAGACAAAACCTTTTAATCCTTTTTAAACAGTTCTACCAACTGGGGACCAAGTATTCAAATACATAAGCTTAAGGGGAGCATTCTCCTTCAAACCACCACATTCTACTCCCTGTCCCCATAAGCTCATGGCCATATATATCACAATGCAAAATGCAGTTAGTCCAACTGCAAAGTCCTCAACAGTCTCAACACTATTTTAATGTTCGAAGTCCAATTCTCTTCCGAGGCTGAAGGAATGCTTTTAATTGTAACCCTATGTAAAACCAAAAAGCAAATTACGTACTCCCAACTTACAATGGCACAGAATACACATTGCAGTTCCAAAAGGGAGGAATTGAGGCCTAATGAGAAAATACTGGGCCAAAATAAGACCAA